GCTGATATGCTTGCGGACAAATGCAACTTATTCCAACTCTACAAACTCTCAGGTCGTGCAGTGGATGCGGAGAGAGGTAGATAGATGGACAAACAAGTGGAGTTTGGTGCCAGTCCTGGAGACCAGGAGACAGGCATACAGACGCTGCTGAGACGGCAGATGAGACGAGCAAACAAATGCACAGACGTGTGAGTGTGCACGACTACACGCGAACGATGGCTGGAAGCGGACACACAAGGTCTATGCATAGACAGGCCCGGAGCCAGGCACCAGCACCAGCAGTTTGCCCATGTAGCTGTCGCTCTGATTTCTCTACATGCAACCAGTCTTCTGCTTCTCACCTTTCGGCATACCAATTCACCTCGAGTTGTCCTCATCTTCGGCCCAACGTCCCAACCAGGCGAGTTCTCTTCGCCTGCCTGAGCGAGAAACAACCGGAGGGACTCGGTCTCGAAAGCAACCTCTGTCGTCAACGCTGCCGGCGCCATCAGCAATGTCGGACTCTGGCTCGAGTCAACGGATTCTTTCTGTACCTCCCGGCCAGCCGGACACGACAGGCTAGACGCATCTTCGGGAGTCCCGCCGAACTGACAACTGTCACCGTCTGACCCTTGCGTGTGTGTCCGGTCTGTCCGCCAATCGGCTCTCCTCAATCTGCCCTCTTCTGGTGTCGGTTTCGCGGCGTCTTCTGCCGGACAGTGTCCACTGCCCGGCAAGGCGCTTAATCCAGTTGCCACGGGCATCGAAGCATCGGATTCACATTCGCGACAGCACCGAGTGACGAACAAGGGCGCCGGCATCGCCGGTTCTTCCAACGGGTCGTGTCTGTGTCCGAAAGGTCGCCTAGCGACTAGTTCCGCTCTCCCGTCCGAGACGAAAGAACCGCTGCCGGCTCTAAATGCGTCAATCGGCACGACGCCTCGAGTGGACACATCGCCTTTTTTCTATTCAGCAGGTCACTGACAACTTGAAAGGGTATATCCAAGACTTCCGTAAAGACTGCGGTACATCGGGCACTTTATAACATGTCGGCTCGCAGGTGGCTATGCCGGAGGGCAGCAAAACTGCTTATTTGGATGTTGCTATTCAGCGGCCTGCCTCAGGTAAGCCTCGTTTAGCATCGCCACTTTTAACGTCGCATCTGCTTGCATGCAATTTTGTGTATGTCAGGAAAAATGTTTTTATGTCAAATAGGTTTTAAAATTATCATCAAATCTTATTACATAGTCTAGACAACTTAGCCTTGCTATCTGAAAGGTATTTTCATCCTGACTGAACTGGACTGGACTACAGTTTCAGCCTTCCTTGGAGAAGGAATCAACTTATTTCTCGTACATAAACAGAGTTCCCAGACTACCAAGAAATGAGACTTATTCACAGTTTCGTTTAAGATGAAGTATTTTCCCACGATGATATGAGTAAAGCTGACGTTTCCATTGAATTTCACATAGCCATGCTTTCCCAAAAGTTGCTCTCATCCAGACACCAGTCGAATGCAGGTTCGACCTCGCATCGGTCTTATCAACACCCCCAGCGGGAGTCGAACCGTGACAGTGCAGAATGGGAGCTTGACACGTTGACCACTCGACCACATTGCCATGACTGCCCTTGGGTCTCAGGGCAGATGTGAATTTCAAGGAAGGCCAGGCCTTTTGCCATACCATATTCCTTAGTGGAATTGTCGATGAAGCAAACGTATTTTTGCTATAGCAATCGAGTAGGTTACTTATTTTCTTATATATGCATAGTTTTAAGATTATCAGTAAATCAGTAATATGAGATGTATTCACCCAATTTCGTTTAAGGTGATGAAGGACTGGTAGA